CACAGACAAGGTTGGCTACATCTCGAAGCGAGCTTCCATTAAAACATACTACAAGCCGCCGAAGAAGATTAGTCAATTTTTACCATCCGTCAAGTGTAATATCCCTCTACAAGATGCAGGAGTGTACAAGTTAGATTGTGAATGTGGTCTCTTTTACATAGGTCAAACAAAAAGATCCATAAAAACCCGCGTGAAAGAACATATAGCTGACGTGAAGCACCGACGCTCCCGGGAAGTCTGCAGTCAGCGAACATGTTCAAGATCGTCCCCACCATTACATTCGATTTGATAAACCACAAATTCTCGCAAAAGAACACCGATTCCTACCAAGGATGATATGCGAGGCTATTGAAATTAAAAAACATCCAAATTTCAATAGAGAAGATGGTTGGGTGCTGCCACCTGCTTGGGATCCTATAATTAACAAAATTAAACCCAAACCTAAGCATACCACTGCAAGACTTCATGATACTATAAGCTCGTTTTGCGTAAATCGGACCAAAAATTAATATTCAAAAACTGAAGGTAGCCGGACTATGACATTGGGACGTCAAACATCTTCCCCCCTGTGACCATGTTTGCTGTAAAGCACCCGAAACGTCGGGAATTAAAAATAAGTAAAAGTAGTGCAATAAACGCGATAAAATCCGTAAATTTAGTTTTATTCGATTACCAGCTGATTAGTGACCGCCAATACGGTTTTCGCCGTGGTCGATCAGCTGGTGATCTTCTGGTCTACCTAACTCATAGATGGGCGGGGGCAGTAGAGTCTAAGGGGGAGGCATTGGCCGTTAGTTTGGATATTGCGAAGGCCTTCGATCGGGTTTGGCACAAAGCGCTTCTTTCGAAGCTCCCTTCCTATAGGCTTCCCGAGAAATTGTGCGATTGGATCACCAGCTTTCATGCAGATCGGAGCATCAAGGTCGTTATAGACGGTGCAAGCTCCGATTACAAGCCTATTAATGCTGGTGTCCCACAATGCTGCGCGCCAACGCTGTTTCTTCTGCATATCAATGATATGTTGCAAACCCGTCACATTCATTGTTATGCAGATGACAGCACTGGTGATGCTCTGTACACCGGCCGTGCCAATATTTCTCGAACCGCATGCTCGTTTGCCCCCTCTTCTATAAAAGAAAAAAAAACTTTGTGTGTTAACATTGTTTTTTATTTTCACTGTTATTTCTACGGTAATACAATAAGTGAAAATTACTCTAGGTATGTATATGGAAGGGTATGTAAATTCAAGCAAACAATTATGTACATTTAATTTATAGATTTTTTATTACTTGATACTGGCAAAAATGCAACCGTGTGATTTCATAACCAAAGAAAAAAAGTCAAAATAACAAAAAAAAATTATTTTCGATTTTTTTAACTTTGTGTTAACATTGTTTTCTATTTTCACTGTTATTTCTATGATAATACAATAAGTGAAAATTGATCTAGGTGTATAAAGGGTATGTGAATTCATACGAAGAGTTACATTTAATTTATAGATTTCTTATTACTTGACACTGGCAAAAGTACAACCGTACGATTATGGTACTAAATTAAAAAAGTCTCGAAGTTATAAAAAAAAATATTTTCCCTCCTTCAATTAAAAAGCATCCTCGATTTTTTTATTTGTGTGTTAACATTGTTTTTTACAGTTAATGTTATTTTTATGATAATACAATAAGTGAAAATTGATCTAGATATATATAGAAGGGTATGTACCTCATTAACATAAAAAATGTCTCTTGTTTCTTAAGGAATAACTAGAAAAATGTTTATCTTAAGATTGAAAGATAATATTTTTATAAGTATAGCGTAATTTAGTGGTGTTTAATACAAGTATATTTTTGTTTATTTATTTTTGTAGTACTATAACGCATATTTTGAATAAGTATGATATTTAGACATGATAGACTTGTAACTTATACAAATTTAAATATATGTATGTAAGTATACATTAATTATGTATTTAATGTACTATGATATAACATAAACTCTTACGCCTATCACCGAAAGGGGCAGGCAGATACTACAGTCAACTCGAGCTTTGGCTGCCTGTACACGTACGAATCAAGCGAACTGGTGAAAGAGTAAGAACACGATTTATTTAAGCGCTTGTAAGCAAAATGGCGATCGTAAGCGGTAAGCGCTGTCAAATCGTAAGTCTCTATTTTCCTCTAGGACACGAAGTTATTTTTAACCGGGGAACCTTTACAAACATGTATTTAAATTAGGTTAATTTAAATATATGTTTGTAAAGTATTCATATTAAAAATTACCAATCATGAATTTTTAATAACATGTAGGTATAATATGTTTCAGTCATTATATTACTTAAAACTAATATTGCACAAAACAACTTATAAACTCTACTTCAAAACAAACAAATTAAATAACCAAAATGGCGGATTGTGTCCACGCTACTGAAGTTAGCAAACGTGTCCTGGCCGAAAATTGTTTAGTTTCGCCATTTTGCTTACAAGAGCTTTCTTGCGCTTTTTTCTGCCAAACGCACCCAATCGTTGTGTGCGCGCTTTGTGTTCCCGCCCGAACCATAGTCTGAATCGACCTAATGAGACTGACGACTATACGAAGTTTGCAGATCGTCAACAACAACAACCGGCAACATCAGTTGCTTCAGGGCGCTTATTTTCAAAAGCCGGAATTTTTGACAATTATAGAAGATTTTTGGCAAATATAGAATTAGCATTGTCAAATTAGCATGCAATAACTGTTTGTCTCCTTTATTTTTCGACATGTACTGGTTACAGTTTTTATTTATCATTAGTTTATTTGTTATACATAACTTTTATTGACTTTCAAGAAGATAGTTTTAGTTTTCTTTTTAGAATATTATTTTTTGCTGAAAATACTTATTTGTATGTTAACTTAGAAGTTATGATTAGTAATTTGAGAACATTGATGTTGAAAATACTTACAGTGTGTTAACTTACAAGAAATTACATTTCATTATTTGAGTATTATTTTTGGTTATTTATTCAGAGAATACTCGATCGAAATACTTTTTAACTAAGCTGTTTTATATCTTGTTAATTAGGTCAATAATATTCTAATTTAAGTAGTAATAATTAAATAAATTTTCCTATTGCAACAAATTGATCGATGACAATAAATGAAGATAATCAAGCTAAGCTATTTAAGAATATTTTGACAGTGATAATTAAACTACTAATAGTTTATGTATAATGTACCTACATCTTAAAGCTAGACTGATATTTTTAGTGAAGACTGCTATATAGCTAGTTTTGTAGTTAAATACAGGTACTTACTATAGCTAAGGTTAAAACCAAAAATGCATATGTATGGGAGACATACTAAATATACCTTTATATTTAAATCCTACCTACTAAGTTTAGTAATAAAAAATTAATTTTAGTTATCCCAACCCACAAAAGAGCTAGATATAAAAATAAATTTTAAAAATAGTAATTTATAGCAAATCATTGACAATTGAAATTTCAACTCGAGTCGTAATTTTTCGAGTTGGTACATCTATAGTTTGAACCGAATCTGACACACTTTTCCCTCTCGCTTCTTTCACATTCATATATCTTCGCATACATGCTCGTCGGTCAATGGTACATACCTATATATACATCATAATATACTATTTTATGTGCAACGTGACCAACAGTGCAGGTATATAAATGACCAACATTAGATACAAAAAAGTTATTGGATTCCCGATCTGGTTATTTGTCAAGGTCGTGTATGACAATTTGCCTAGGACATTGAGCTATTATGTACTACGTACTAGAGGAGACACTGCATTCAGCTACTCTGTTCCACTCAACTGCGGTGCATGCACTGCACTTTACTCAGCACGTTACAGTAATCTATGGTCACTCGATAGGCGCTTGTAGAGTTGTCACGTGTTGTGTTGATTTAAAAAAAAATCTCTTGATAAAAATATGCCGTCTTGTGTACTTAGATATTGCACAAATAATTCAAGAAATGTCAGTAAAAACCAAGGAATTACTTTTCATCGGTTAATAAGATAAAAATAATAAATTAAAATAAAAAAGTATTATAAATTAATAATAAAAAAAATTATTCCTAAGACGCCATCTCGTATCATTGAATATAGATTATGAAATTAATATGTTCAGATGCGACATTTCTGTGGGTACTTAAGTTTAGGACGAATATTATTATACACATTGTTTTTGTAGAAACATATAAGTTATTATAATTAGGCTAAATTTTTCATGTTTAAATCTGCTTACTATTCTTTTATTTTATTTTTAGGTTTCCACTTCAAATCAAAGTGGAATAAATTCGTCCATTTTTAACTCTCGCGTGCCCAGTATTTAAGAACGATTATTTAAAGCATTTATGATTCTAATTTAAATAAATATATTTATAATTTAAATTTTATGTTAATAAGTTTTGTTAAACATACATTTAGTATGTTTTTTTTATATTTGACATAGATACCTTTTAAAATATTCAGATAAAAATATCATTAAAATGTAATTGTGATATAATATTATGTAATATTATATTAAATAAACAAATATAATATACAAAGTAAATGACAAAATTTAAATATTTTTCTCGATATAATTTAGCTATTTAACAATACAATCTACTATTACCTACGGATCATTCTACCCATGTTTATATATATACCTATGATAAAAAAAAACCAACCGCGCGAACACAGAGTAGCGCACATTTATGTTTGAGATAGCTGTTCTAGTACGTAAGTACATATTACTTCAATGGCCTAGGACTACTTTCAATCTCATATGATGTATACACAGCGTGTGAAATAGGTTTTTAAGTTTAACTGAGTCTGTGATAACGTGGACACGAATACCTTATGCATCACTGATAGCTACTTACAATATTCGAAAATTATCTTAAATATGTACCTACATCTAATTTTGGATGATTTAAATATAATTTCAATAATTTTCGACAGCCTTCATTTTAGAAATTTTCAAGAGCTCTCATATAACTGAAAAATTTCGAGAAAAATGGTCGAGGTCAATTTAAACCACTTACAAAAGGATTTATTGTTACCTGAAGATTTAAATAAAAATGTTACAAGTGCGGAAGATGTTTTTTCTCATCCCGTGATCTGTAATAATGAAAGAAATACAGAAACAAATAACAATGAAAATTATGAAGATAAAGGCGTTGAGATGGATGGAACATATTTGAAAATGAATATAAACAGCGAGCAAGTTAATCAGGAAAGTAGCTATCACAAAAATGAATATAATGATAATAGTAATAACACTAACGATTATAATAATAGTATTAATGATAATAATAATAACGATATTATTGCACCTACACTTTTGAACATATTCAAATATGAGTCTCTATGTAATGCCTTTCACAATGACTTCAATGGATGTGTTGACACCGACGCTTGGAACCAAAATAGCAACAACATTTCGTGTTCAGGATTAAACAGTTATGTTTTCAGTGAATATTCTACTGAACCTCTATCTTGTGATGTACAAAATAACATAATTCCAGTTTTCTTTAACGGTCTGGAATGTGAGAAAGATAAGTACGGAGACATGAAGGACAACAAACTAAACGACGAATATGTGAACAACGGTCTAAATGAAGTTACTTGTAAAGTAAGAAACACCGGACATTGTACAAAACCATTCGAATGTGTTGAAAATAGTTATTTAGAAAGTTTTAAAGCGTTTATAGAGGAATTGAAGAATGTAGATACAGAAGCTGACGAAATTGCTTCCGTTAGTTCAATTTCAGAACACTGTAGCGGGTATCAATCGTCTGATTTTGAATTTATAGATGAAGCTGAAGCCAAAGAAGCGATGTTTGTTACTAAAGGAATTTCGAGTATAGAAACACTGGCAGAAAACATCAATTCTGATTTTAAATTCAACGACAAATCCGAAGCTAAAATGAAGGTATTCCATACTAACGAAATTCACACAATGGAAAACAGGGAAGAAACCAATAGCTATAACCCTAATGCTGAAAATGCTATTTCTTTTAACAACTTGGAAGCCTCCAGCACAAGGAGTTTCATGTATAATAGAAATAATATTCATAATACCACTTATCGAGGAAACTTATTTGATACTCACCATATCCCCACAATGAATAGCAGGGAAGTAACAAATAGCTTTAACCCTCACGCTCAAAATGCGATTTCTTTTAACTATTTGAAAGCCTCCAGCTCAAGGAATTTCATGTACAATAGAAATACTTTTGATAATACCGCTTATCAAGAAAACGCTAACTATCAACAAAACCACGTTATACCTGAAGGTGAAGATTTCTTAAATCTTTTTCAAGGAGCACACGTACCGGCTTATGAATCACGTTTCTTTGAAAACAAGTCCATATTCGCTAGAAATCCAACGTCCACTGTAAAACATATAGGTTTCGACATAAGCATGTTGCTTGAGGGACATAAACAGTATATATCTGAAAATGATGGTGAGTATAGAATAAGAACATTACCGTTACCGTTACAGCCTATTCAAGTCCACTGCTAAACATAGGCCTCCCCCATAGATTACCTCATTAAGGGGGGGGGGTATTTGCAATAGTTGCCACGCTGGGCAAGCTTTTATTTTTGGTCATTACATATTAGGAAGTCGCAGCTGCCCATCCCCTGATTTATTTCCCTCTGTCGCCGCTTACGATACCCACGTGATATGGGGTAGCGGATATTCTTACACCACCACTACACGGTTAAAATTAATAAAAACGTTTACTTTAAAATCTTTGCCTGAAGTGTGATAACAGCTTAAAAGTAACCCTGTAGCCTCGATCAGATGACGGGTTAACTATCTCGTCTACGACGTATGATCTGTGTTCGAATCTTACTTACTTACTTACTTATCTTCACGCACATTCCCTAACGGGGTAGCCAGAGAGAACAGATCGCCAAGTGTCACGATCCTTACATACCTCTTTCGCTTCTTTCAGGTTCATTAACTTCTTCATACATGCACGTCTAGGTATCCGAGTACTCTTGACCCTCCCCTCTTAGAGCAATTTGCTCACATGGTCTTCGAAAGTTAGTCTCGGTCTACCTCGTCACCTTTTAATATTTACTTTCGCTCTATATATTTTCTTCACCATTCGGTCTTCACTCATTCGTTCAACGTTCCCAAACCATTGGAGTACGCCCCTATCAATTTTTGTGATAAGGTCATCTTTCAATCCTGCCATATTGCGAATCTCTTCGTTTCGCTTTCGGTCGGCTATGGTAACGCCGCACATTTTACGAAGAGATCGCATCTCCACTGCATTCAACTTGCTTTTATGCTTCTTCTGGCATACCCAGGTTTCGCTGCCATATAACAAAGTCGGTACCAACACTGCGTTATGTATTGCAAGGCGTGCACTCTTCACCACGCCTTGCCTTTTGACTAATGCATTCAGGGCACCATTGACTTTGTTTCCGGCAGCGACACGCCTATCCACATCTAAATCACATCTTTCATCCCGGCTGAAAGCACTCCCCAAGTATACAATTTCATTTACCTGTTCTAGACGTGTTCGAATCTCAAGCGAAAGAAACATCCGGCAAATAAGTACATAAAGTAGTCTGATATATTTACGTCCCACAGCTTGGCACAGGCCTCCTCTCATTTCTGAAATGGTTTTTAAAACAAGGAAATGTCTACTGCCATGCCCCAATGCGTGTTGACGGTCTTCATATGTCTTCGAAATTACTCTTTCAAAAGGTTATATTGCGAAGACGCTGCCCTGTATCGTAATAGGCTGCAGTGCTGGTGTTTCGCATACTTCCTCTATTTTAATGTTATTTTGTATTTACTTCTCACTGCTTACTGTGTTTATATTCCATAATATGTAATAGAACTTAAAGTTGTTACCGAGCAATATATTAATTATTTAAATAATTTTGAAAGTAATTTCTAGCATCAGAAGTAGGATAATTTAAGAAGAGGTTATAATTTTAATGTATTAAGTAAACATAAACGTTTCTCCATATAAATAAATTTCCATATCGTCACGCCTGTGACCCCCGAGGTGGTAGGCAGAGTCCAAGGAGTAGCGAGGTACTTGGACGACATTTAACCAAAAAGTATGGAAAATTGCGAAGTAAGTGATATGTGGCTAACCCAAAACTTATAGAAACACAATCCCAATATGCCACAAGTCTAATGCTAGGCAAGTAAATCTGGCAGTCGGCACATTCTTTATTGTTATAAGTCCCACGTAATCATAAGCCCTGTAAATTGCAGACTCAGACCAACATGACACAAATAAATAAATAAATAATATTGCATTTTCAGTAAGAGAAGCGAAGCAAAGTGAAGCTAAAATATTATCCTTGTATCCCGACCATAACAGACAATATCGCAGAAAAATATATATACTTTATGAGCAGTGTATAAAAAATATACATCTTTAAATTTAAATTAGTGTTTTTTTTAATCAAAAAGATTGTGATAATTTGCTTTCATCGCCACCGCCAGCGTGGCTTGCCCGGAGCGATCTCAAAGGTATAATAAATACGGTACAGTCAAGTCTGGTAACTTTACCAATGGAAGTTAACTTTGCCATCAGCGATGCACAGCTACAAAATTACGATTAATACGGAGAGCGTAACGTTTTTCGAGAAATGCCATTTTTTGGATAAAAATTTAATAACTAATTGACAGCAGTATTTTCGATATGGCTATATGAAGGTTAATTTTGAAATTTTATTTTAACGTGGATTTGTGATGCCGATTTAACGTCCTTGTTCACTGCTCCAGAACTTTTGTTGATTTTGTTTGAAATACTGACTGTCTTTTGAAATTGACGCTCAGTCAGACAGTACCTTTTATGTAGGAAAGTCGGTACTAAACTTTAGTCCTTCCAAAAATGCCAAAGTTGCTAGGTTTCACGCTAGACAATATCATGTCTCTTAACTTTAACGTCGCTTCCTTTTACCAGTTTTATTTTAGGGGTATTTTGCCTGACATGGTTATACCGCCATCTCGGGTTAAACTACACCACGTAAATATTTGATACCTACAATGTTTTTAACCGACTTCAAAAACCCACCCAATTCGACTGTATTTTTTTAATGTGTTACCTCATGTCACAACTTTTTTCTAGGTGTGGCTCATGTGGTCCCATATAAATTTGTTCAAGATCTGAATGAATGAATTGATGATGTTTTCATTTTATTTTCATTGACGTCCGTTGTACAAAATTTTTAATTTTACCACTTATTTACCTTTTAAATCTACTGCTGGATAAAGGCCGCATACTTTAAAAGAGCTGCCCACACTCGGCATGCTGAACAGATCGGTGAGCGTAGTAAAGATACCTTCGTACTGGTAATGCTGTGCACATTACCCGTCTGAAGAAATTTGGGTGCGGTTTACCCAATGGACTAACCGCAATTTGTTCGCCAGAGCCTCATTAAAATACATAAAGCACTATTTGAAAGTGTTACTCCGTGAAGTGGAATCCACTAGCCTTTATCTTCCCGTTGGCGTGGTAAAAATAGGAGGGAAATGAAACTGGAGATGGGCAGCAGCATCTTCCTGAACAGCTCCAAACAATAAAATAAATTGTTAATTAAAAATTCTGCAGATACCAAGCATGGCGACTATGGCAAATTTCCTACCTACTAGACAATCTGTGTCTAGTAGGTAGTAATCTGTGAATGAGAAACTGTTTAAAAGTAGCTTAGAAAAGTAGTCATTTATTTTATATTATAAGAAATGACTTATCGAAATAAGTGGCTACATGGCCTTAAACCAAATTAGAGGCAAGATTACACTTTTTCGTTTTACGTTCAGTAAACACACAACATCGTGTGGTAGCGGTATAAGAAAATTTAGCACCCCATTTCACCCCGTGTGTGTCATAAGAGGCGAACTATGGCTAATGCGGAAAAGTTCATGGCTTCCGGTAGATGGTGGAAAATATACAGACCGGCAGTGGGAAGCTCCACCAAAAGTGCGAGACTTCTCATGCTGCGAACGCTAATAAGCCAGCCAAGCGTGTCGGTTAAGACTAAACATCCCTAGCACAGAAGAGGCTCATTTATAAGGAATACACAGATGACAGAAAGTGAGCCATGTTTTAAATAGAGCACAGACTGTGTTGAAAATTGTAATGCATATATGCATAGAACTACGTTACAAGTAGCTCAAGAGTGCAATAATAAATAAAGAAATTAGGTATAGAGTTCATGAGAATAAATTAACTATCTAAGAAAAAAACTGTCCTTAAACCAATTATGTGTAGTGCAGAGGTAAGGAGTAGACTGTGTATTAAAAAGTGTCCGTAGAAAACCGTTAAATAAGGGTGGGGCCACTATAGCTACGGGTTAAATTTAAGGTATGCGCCAAAAATATTAGTGGGATAAACGACTTTTTCGAGATTATCTAATCTATCTATGCAAGTTTATCATGCAGAGAACCCCCGAGCATAGCCTTCTCCATTGCTCGCTGAACGACCATGAGCCCATGTCTCAGATCCATAAGTCATCACTGGCAACACGCACTGGTTATATAATCTAGTTTTCTGGTTTTGAGGTATACCTGACGAGAAGAAGAACGGTTAGTGATATGAGAACTTTAATATTTACTACTAGTACTTGGTTTAAAAGCATCGATACCAAAAGTACTTGTGTTACGAGAGAGAGTAGAAAATTAATAATAGCTTTAAAAGTAACATAACATAAGCACTCACGCCTGTCACCCAGAGAGGTAGGTAGAGACTACAGACTTGCATTTAGCACGATCCTGACATACCTTTCTCGCCTCTTCCACATCCATATACCTACGCATACATGCTCGTCGGATTAAGGGTACTCTTAATTTGGCCCATTTTTAGTATATCGCCAATTTGGTCGACAAACTTCCGCCTAGGACGTCCCTTTCCGACTCTTCCATTCACTTCTGCAACATATATAGCAAGGTGTACAGCAGGCCTGCCACCACGTCCTCTCCAGCCCTTAGCATTTCGAGTGAAACTCTATCATATCCGGCTGCCTTACCTACTTTCATGCTTTTCATTGCTTTCATTATTACATCTATACGTATCTCCCTATCTTTTTCATCTTCTTTCGGAATTTCTATTTCAATTAGTTCACACTTCTCCTTACTCATAAATACGCTTTCAAAATATTCCTTCCATCTCTTTACACTCAACACTTCATCATTCAGGATACAGCCATTCTCATCTCGTATCGCATTCAATCTAGGCTGTTTTGAAAGTCCCCTGGTATTTCTTACGAGTTTCCAGAACATTTTAATATTTGCCTGGAAGTTATCCGATATTCTTCTATCATTCTTATCCGTTCTTTCTTGCTTTTTCCTTTCAACTAATTCTTTTACTCTCTTATTTAAACGTTTAAACTCTGCCTTTTTTCTTTCATTCTCATCATTCTTACCGCCAGAATTACCAGCTTTGGTCGCTAGTAAATCTAGCCATGCTCTCTTCTTTGCTTCAACTTCCATACGTACCTCATCATCCCACCATAACGTATTGTCTTTCCTTTCATTCGTTCTCTTAC